TCATGGTTCTGCACGACCTAAAATCAATAAACGGTATCCAGAGCCCTGCATTGTGCATTGTGCTCTCTCCGCCACGGAGGGTCAGCATGTCTCTTTTATATCGAACTTTTTTGTTGTACCTCTTAAAAAGTAATGTAACAGCCTATAAATATCAGTGCTAGGAATAGGCATTCTGTCTACGGAGGGTATCATAGCATAATCCACCACGCGGCCCCACTGCGGGTTGTCGGACTTCACACATCTTCGAAATTTTTGTTTTTTTTTTTGTTATTATTTCGAAAACATGCAGGTTTCCTCACGATGTTTTCCTTCACCGCTGAGCATGTGATAATTCAGCACTTAACATTAACAATTTCAATGGTGCCAGCACCGGGTTTTGAAGTGAAGTTGCTCGAGTATATAGAATTGAAAGCGAGCGCCCGGACAATGTGCTATCACGGCTCTTAATGTATATATACCTCGTGTTTAAGTGCAAAATAATTTAAATAACGTAATTAATACAAAACAATCACACATTAAAAGTGTAAAGATCAATCTGATTACGACATTTTGAATTAAGAAAATGATTCGTAGCAGTGATGTAATTAGCCGACAAACATTTTTTATAACTACTAAATTTATTTTTTTCGTGACATATTTTTTAGACTTTCGTTATTTTGTGATATTTCTTGGAATTATGTTTTTTTTTGTGTCAAAGGTTTACTTAAAAAAGATTTATTTTACATATTTTTTATTTTATTTATGATTTTATATACTTTTTCATACGTTAAGACGGTTCAGCTGAAAACAAACACGCTGAGTCTGACGTATTTCTCTCGACCGTGCCTGCTCTTCTGACGGTAGCGATACCGCCGCCCCTGACCGTTCTCCCCTTAGCAGTATCCCCCCCTCACTCTCAGTTGTGGCGTACTTAAACAAATGTGCCACAAATAATGGCTCGCTTTGAGATGCTCCAACTCGACACGTTAAAATCGCAGCAACGCTGATTGATTGTCAGGATGCCCTTTTGATGTCGATAGTATTGTCTCCTTAGGCGACTTTTTTGGTGGTAAACTTTGACAGATAACGCGATAGTAGAGTAGTTCGTGAAGACTAATTAGTTTTTAATGTTAATTATAAATACGGTTTTTATTTCATAAGAAGACATGTTAATTATTTTGCAACATAACATAGTGGTGACTAGGAGCCAAGCTCTATAAATCTTTTTGTAACCAAATGTAAAGTAACAGCCTATAAATGTCCCACTGCTGGACAAAGGCCTCGTCTGTACTGAGGGTATCTTTTTATTATGAGGTTATGGTATTAATTATGAGGGGTAGTTTTATATAGTATATTCCACCACGGCCACTGGCGATTAGTGGACTTCACATATTTTCGAAATATTTTTTTGTTATTCTTGCGAAAATATGCAGGTTTCCTCACGATGTTTTCCTTCACTGCTGAGCACGTGATAAGTGTTTTGTACGATATCGCTCTATGCACCTATTGTGTGGACTGGTAGAGAAAGTTTCAAACATTTAAATTCTATACTAATGTGATTGTGTAATGCAAAATATTTGAGAAACAAATATAAAATTGTTGATCCGTGCGAAGTTCTCGCACGTTGTGATGATCAATGAAAGGGTATCTTATCAACAGACTTAAAATAAGGAGGAGGTTCTCAATTCGACTGTATTTTTTAACCGAATTTGACCGTATATATATTTTTTTTTATGTGTGTTCGTGGATAACTTTGTCGTTTATGAACCGATTTTGATGATTCTCTTTTTGTCAGAAAGGAGATATCCCAATGGTGGTACCGTGATAAGGAAACCTGGATGTAATGATGGCATCCTAGAGAAATCGAGTGCCATTATTGAATGTTATAGGTATTAACAATGTTTTTAATGTTCGGACTGAAGTCGGATTTTTTTTGTTATTTTATTTTTGTTACCTCAGAACTATCGACGGAGTGAACCTGAATGACGTAACTGATTAGTTAATTTCTACTTAGTCTATCGTTGTGTATGATCCCGTGACAAGGATTTGACAGAGTGTGAGAGTAATTATTTTATGTAGACACAAGACAAACTTGTGAATATATAAATGAGTGTCCTTAGAATTTTAGGCATATAGGGATTTTACTCTATTGGCTATATGTAGGTGGACAAAGTAACTTATAAAATTTCAAGGACTACGTAGAGGTTACTAATGTTTACGATGCTTAGATCTATTGAATATGAAGCGTACTGAAAAAAAATCTAGAACAATATCGGGACAATAACATAGATTACGAATACCATAATACATCCCATTTTATGTCTAGTTTTATATTATGATGAATTTTTATAATGAATCTAGTTTATGGATTTTATCGCGTTTTTTATTTTGATTTGAACCCCCGACCCTTTCGACCCGTTTCGAACCCTTCCAGCGTTCATGGTCACGGGACAGACTATAGATTTTATATGTTGATGCTGTTATTTTTGGGAACTGTCTCCAAAATAGTATAGCATCAGTACATAAAATCAATGAACAAATAAAGACATCCGTACTGTGTTACAGGGACTCGCCAATAGTCAATTTTAACTTCGGTAATTCAACCGAAACCCACTCTGTAATTAATCAATTTATCGCTTCGGCGTGTATTAATTAGACGCGGACAGTTTTATCGATGGAATCACGTTATAAACGATGTTTATAGGTTTGTGGGGGTTTATTTGCCACCGAGTTTGTTACTTAATTCTCTTCACTTCGTAAAATGTGAAATTCATTTAGTTTGTACTTTTTGTAAAAATTATACAAAATAGAAATAATTGAATACTAATTTTTATGTAATATTATGTACAAATTCAAACATATGTGTACTTGATTATACCATAAAAATTACGAAACAATCTGTACTCGTATCTGTGCTATGGTAGAGCAATGTAGTATCATCGATTATGATTATGATAATTACGATTATGATAATTCAACGATGATACTAGATACGTCAAAACATATCTAGTATCATCGTTGAATTGTTTGTAATTCAGCGTTTTGTGTCAACAGAAGAAACACAAAAATTACTTCAAATCCGCAACCTGGTCAATTTTCCACGGTTATTTCTTTTATTGCCTCTATTAAATGAGAAAGGGTGTTTAAGATTCGGCAATATACTTTGACCTCTTTTTTGTACTCAATCAATAAGATTCCCTTGGAATCTCAAAACACTGTGGCTATGAGCTTTCCTGTGGATGGGGTGGTGTTCCCTAACCATGGTGTCAGCTCTAACACGTGTCGGCTCCAGCGACCATCAGTACGTGTGGAAACATGACCAGCTCACTACCACTTAACACGAATTAAAGGAAAAAAAAAGGAAATGGCAACATTACCTATATCTTAAAGTTAAAAGTCAACGAACCAACCGCACACATATTAGTAAAAATATGTTCACACCGTTCTCCATATGATTTGTACACAGGTGTAGATTTCTCTGTGTAATGTTAAGTTCTTAACGTCAGATTTTTTTTAACTCGCGGTAATCATAAACGCGGTAAACTAAAGTAACGGAAATAAATTGACGACGTTTCGAACCCTTTCCAGTGTTCATGGTCTCGAGGCAGTTCGAAACGTCGGGAATTTAGAAATCCAATTAAACACGATAAAATCCGTAAAGTAATATCATTTCACAATGTATAACATTCGAGTAAAAAGAAGAAATCAATATCAAAAGTTTCTTCTAATATTAATGGGATGGACTTAGTCTATCAATTTTTCATCTTCTGCAATGACTAAAAAAAAGGATTCACTTAATATTACAATAGTACATTGCTTAGTTGCTATCATTTAAGCGTATATATGTAGTATATTGAGGACCCTCATTTAGAGCGGGCGACGTCGTATTTCCAAACAAAGCGATGCCGGCGGTCCGTGCTGGATTAATGAGGTGTTTTGTTCGTTTTGGCACTCTCCAAGCAGCGTGTACTAACTGCTGTTTAGGCGGAGTGCGTCTTTTTTCCTTATACAGACGCGGTCATTAATTGGAATAGTTCTCGATGTTTGTTTTTGGACGTAACGGTGCCATAGTGTTAAAATAAGCGGTCCGTACGGTAAATAATTTAAACAATTAACAAACGTAAATTTCTAGCAGGTTTTCACCGCACTCGAGGAAAAATATTTAGGTTTCAAAACTGAGAAGTAGTGCTGCCCCCAATGATGTTTAATGATATTTACATATAATATCATTGACTGCCTCTAAGACATTTTATATTTCGAGATAACTTTCAATTTCTCTTCAGTAATCGTCGTCTTCAAATCGTAATCGTATCGGAAAAATATGCCTACATACATTTAGAGACTACTGATCGCAGTATTTAAACAGTCCAAAAGACTGTATGCGAAAAGAGGGACATCGCAGACTTTTTAACATGAAATGTATAATAAAATAGTATAGGTACCTAACTAAATACAATTTTATTATGAATACAAGTGTTATATAAGTATGTGCAGCCGCTTAGAAAGTGTTTTATTTTACGTCTGATTTTTATAGAGTTCTCAAGATACCGTAGTAAATTACTGTTACAGAATTAACTTACTGGTTAAGTGAAATATATATTTTTTTCAATTTGGAGCAATTTTTGGCAAGTTTCAACTGTCGTAATGTATGTAGCATTACTGACGTGCCTACTTGTGTAATAATGCATACTTTTTACGTTTTAATACTGCCAACAATGCGTCTTTGTGCTATTATTGAAAGGTTTTGTACACCCAACGGTTTTATAGTGGAATTTATCAATTTTTCGTTATTTTTCTTTTTTTGTCCTTTTCTTTTTTTGTTTTCTTTAACGTTATTTTATTTATTAATTTTATAAAATGCCAATATTTAAACGGTTAGCTTCACCTACGATATTTAATTATTATATTTACTTTATATATTATAAACATGATTGGTCCGTTATTCGACAAATAACATGAGAGCACTTTGTATGTGTAGAATGTATTTAAATAATACGAGACATTATTGAATTAAAAATTACCTTGTCCTCCGCTTCTTCTGCTCTGCCCTCGGCTTCCAGAACTCGCTGTTCGAGCTCTGACAGCTGTAACAAAAACGCGGAAGATTAGTACATTTATTCTTGTTTGTGTTATACTCGTATGAGAACTCTTAGCGACATCTATCGGGGAGTATACGTAGTACTGTAGGCGCCCGTGTTCCAAATTTCCCCAAACAATTTAAATGATTCACCGTCGAAATGGTTCCACCGCCACCCGAGAGATGGCGCTGTTCTTTAAATTAAACTTTATTGAACCACGTGGCGCGCAAGTGTTGCACAGTCACATATAGTTATATATCATGCCTATTTATTAGAGAGGCTGTAGAAAAGGCGTTATTGTTATGTAAGGGAGAGTATTCGTGTGGTTTCTAAGGCATAGGGTGGCGGGGCTTGAAAAGGGTGGTTGCTACTTGCAAATGTAACGTTGATATACGTACTACACATGTTCGGGCAGAAATTAGATTGTATCCGAAAGGTTTATTTCATCAGGCGAGAAAGCATTTTCGTCATTGCTTTATCCGGATTTATTGCCCTGGATTCTGAGGAAAGGTTGATTTTGATTTTGTTTTTTCAATAGGTGAAGACGGTATAAGCACGATAATTTTAAAATGACCACTTAGCAAAAATAATGTACAGTTTTCGGTGATAAACATTCTTATGATCTTAAATAATAAAATATATTAAAATTTAATTATTACATGAAATGCCATCATAATTTATAGTGAACGTTTACGTACTTTTAAACTATATTCCTTATAATCACAACGGTTTGAAATGCAATTATAGAGGATTTTATAGATTACACTTATTACAAGCCAGTTCGTTATTATTATAATTGCGTTTAATTTAATTTCCCTGTTAATACATAATTGAATACTGTATTGCTTTATTATTCCATTGAAATGTAGTATAATTTATTAATCAGGGTGCTCGAATAATTTCAGTTAAGCGTAATTACAATATGCTGAATTTTAAACGCTGCCTGATTATTGGATTTTAAATCATAAATTTAAATATTTATAATTTAGGTTGTCACTGAAGTTAGATTTGTATTGCACCGTGTCCTTGACATCAGGTGAGGCAAAGTTACATTGCTCCTAATTTCGGAATAATAATTGATGTGCAGATGTAATTAGCCAACTTGTGTTCTAGTTTTTAGGGTTCCGTACCCAAAAGGTAAAACGGGACCCTATTACTAAGACTCCGCCATCTGTCTGTCCGTCCGTCTGTCACCAGGCTGTATCTCAAGAACCGTGATAGTTAGACAGTTGAAATTTCCGACTCGCACTTGGCCGGTTTTTAGAATTTTAATAATACGTGTTACGGCTACGTTTCTGTAAAGTTTACCAACTGATTATCATTCAAACGTTTTATAAACAGTAGCTCTATTACTATGTAATAAAAACTAGGTTAAATAGAATGCAAAAACTTTTACAAATATAGTATAGTAAAGTATAAAGACCATCTTTGTATTCCAGGTATTAATTTGATTAATTAATTTGTAACTTTTATATTCAAACGCACAAATACAAAAATTATGGGAGTTCGAAACTGCCACAATTTACTTAAAAAGATCATCAAGCTTATTTTGATAATTTAAGTCTATTAATTATTACCTATATTAATAGTCTCGTATTTAGAAATGATATGAGACTATACTCAATCAAAAATTCATATTGGACGTATTTATAAACCCACAAAAGCCAGTGGTTTTTAAATGTTTCCATCGATATAAAGCGAATGTCGTTGACGTATTCGCTCAAAGCGCGAATATTCGATTAATATGGAAATTGAAATTCCTTCGCAAAACGCTCCCAACGCTTTATTATCTGCGCAAAGTTTAATTTAAGGATAGACATGTCGAGATGGCCTCGCGGGATCTTGCTACAGATTCGAACATCTATTGTCTATAAGCTAAAGGGGAATAGAATATTACGTTATGGAGTCAATGGAACCTACATTGTTTAGTTTAAATCTTCAAACACAGCAGAGAGATGATACATGTATATTATATTATATTTCAAACATATCGACAGTTGATTTGTTTGTTGTATTTATATGCTCAGTGTCTTTGCTTTTTAGGCCCAGCAACTAATCTGACTCGAAACTTCATAGTATAAAAGAGATATAATTTTGATCAATTTTCGCATTTCGTATCAAGAAAATGTTTCATTATTGTAATAAGTAATCTTTTTTATTTTGTAACAATTTTACGATTACTATTTATAGTACATGTAATGCAAGTAAAATTCATATATTATTTTATTTGTATGATCACGGGTATATATTGTTTTTATCTATATTATTTATATTTTGTACGTCTGATGAACTTAATGTAAGGTGTCATAATGCTCTACTTTGTACATAAGTGGGCCTTGATTATAGGCCATATAGATAAGACAGTTTCATATAAAAAAATCATATGTTAATTCCGTTTGATATTATTTTGATTCAGTTAAATTTATAGTCCATTAACGTTACGAAGGTAGAAGTTAAGAATGGTATTATTTCAAGCTCTAAAATATTATAATTTAAAACATAACATTTTACGCATTTGTTAATAACAACACATATTGATATAATGATCGGACAGTATTAGTTTAATACCACATTAGTTGACCCCCCTGTAGCTATTTACTTTTAAACCGACTTCCGAAGAGGCGGTTCTCAATTGGGTCATGCTTTTTTTGTTTGTTAACCCAGAACTCCGTCATGTATGAAACGATTTTACAATGTGGTCCCATATTAATTTCAGTTCCCAAATCAGGGAACTCAAAATCATACAGAAGTTGTATAATGAGTGAATGATTTGAAGTCGTTTGCGTTTTTCGTTAAGAAAAATGATTTTGAAGTTATACTTCTTTCGGCACATTTGAGAAAAAATTCGCCACGCACACCGCTAGTCAAAAAGCGAACTTCACGGTATTACCATAGCAATCAATAATTACATTGATTGCCATCGTAATATCATGCAAAATTACGTTCGTACATCTTCCATATCTGTACTGTAATAGTATTTGTAAGGGCTCTACGTAATTGCTTCGGATTTAAACTTAATTTTGACCAAAATAATTAGACCGATGTGGGAATCGAAATTGTCGAAATTGTCTGGTATATAAACACACATATTCGCGTTTTTATTCGTTACAATAGAGAAGTTAGAAGCACCAACAACCTTTATTGGGTGAATTTTCTATATCCTCCATACGTTTCAAACTATTGCTCGGATAAAACAACTAACGAATGCACAAACATATAAATTCGATCCGAGTATCCGACTGCAATGTTTGAACGTCAAAGAAAGAGGCAACGTTATGAATCAAAAGCAAGCTTTTAAAGCCAACGGGAATGCTATTTGCTCATTTAGACTAACTTTTGTTTTACTACAAAGTAAATATAGATACTTAATTAAATAAATTTATCGTCAAGGGATTTTTATGTTATTAATACATATAATATAGTTGATTTATGCTGTTAAAGTAATAATAATTAATACATTAAATTAAATGTACTTTAACGTAAGATTTTTTTAGATTGCATGCACTTCATTATGGATTAGGGTAATGTAGTATTAAAATAATATAGTTATAGAAGCCCTGATAAGGACAATATGCAACTACAGAAAGTATGACAACGGAAGGAGAAAAAATACCGTGATAACGAATTAAACATATGTGTAATTTCAGAAATATACTATAAAACATTTAATAACAGGCTCATTTAGTTTTCTACACATTTAACTTTTTGTTTTTATTTTCAACCGACTTAAAAACAAAAGGAGGTTCTTAATTCGACTTATTTTTTTATGTTTGTTACCTCAGACTAACTTTCGACGAAGCGAACTTATTTTGATGATTCTTTTTTTATTTGAAAGCTAGTGCGTCCCATGTGGTTCCATATTAATTTCATTGGTATTGGATCTTGGCCTCCGGAGATACCTAGGAAACTCCTGGAAATCAATTATAAAATGAATACAGAGTGAGATGTTTGAAATCGGTTTTGTTTTTTTTTTTTTTAAAAAAAGTGGACTTCACCTGTTAAGTAAATACCGCCGATCGTTTGTGTAGTTAATAACCCATAAGTTTTAGGTGAAACACGCAAAAGTTATTATTGCTACGAACGTTTGCACCATAAGACTAGTTGCAAAAGCGGTGCCGGCCTTTTAGGTTTTCCTTTGGACTCTCGAAAAGCTCGGTCGTTTGTGTAGTTAATAACCCATAAGTTTTAGGTGAATGGGGCGGGAAATTTGCTCTAAAAGCACAGTGTTCCGCCGATCATTCAGATCGCATCTATAGTTTTTTTTGCCTCAACACGTGGCAAGGATATGAAGTTCGGTAGTTTGAACCAATACAAACACTTCCCATGAATTTCGAAAACCCCAAGAATACTATAGGCCTCCTCTACAGAGTATATCTTACTACTCTCTCTACCTTAGTCGCCACGTCTGGCAAGCGGGTTGGCAACCGCACTTTCGCACACCTGCGAAGGTTTTAACAAACCCTTAAACAAGTGTTTTATTAATTACATATTATATTTAGACAGCGAGATCCGTGATGGTGACAGTCAAAACTACGGCCCGCCATCGTCCATCCCTCATTGAGAGTAAAAGTTCGAATCACTTCGCATAACTTATCCACTTCAATTTAATTTCGTCTCGAACAATTCGCATTTAATTAAACCGGTGCCGGCGCAAGATCGCCAAATATTCCCGTCAAGCATCCAGATCGCAGAGAGCATGTTTACGACTCTTAGACATCCGGGACATCGCTAGGCGTCCGGGTCACATATCACCAGTGAATCGACTTAATGAAAGACCAGGGTGTCCACTAAATTAGTAGAAAAAGGGACTTCACAATAATAGATATATATAACAACTGTTAATATGTAATCACTGTCAATTTTGGTCCAATTTAAGCACGCACGCACAAAAAGTTACAGTTATCGCTTGTTATATAGGTTGTTGAAATGATTTGTTAACCGTGTTCGCCGCGCCCTTAAATATAAGTTTTTAGGGTTGACTAGTGAATAATATTAGTTTTTGTTTAATGAGTTTGCTGGTTAAAAAAATGAAACTCATTATTTAGCGGCAATTCATCGAACATTTTTAAGAAGATTATAAAATGTGCAAAGATTTTTTTATTTATAAATTAGGATCTATTTGGCGTCCGTGTAACACTATTATAAACCCTCGCCTCCGAGCACGGCGAGACCCACACAACGCGTACACAAGGTACACCCGCGTTCCGGGGCCGTTCTCACCGCTCCCAGCCACCGATTAGCTAAATGCACAGTCGACGGCCGTCGGGGTCTCGGTCCGAACCGGCGACCTCGACGGCTCTTAGATGACACACCATAGTAGTTAAACGCACGCATGAGCACATGCGCGACCCTACCCATAGCGGAGGGTCCAAACCCGTGGGTTCTGGCTAGCCCACCGGTTCTGCGTCCGATGAAGCTTTAATAGTCTCGGGACTGAAAGCAAAAACATCAGTTAATACAAGATACAAGATACTATTATAAATATTGGGAAATACACTAGTTACACTGGCTTATTTGCTGCTTAAACATGTATTAAATTATTAAACTTGCTGCAGTTTGCGTTTTCTGTGGCTTTCATGATGAAAGCCCTTAAGGATGAGATTTGTGTTTGCTCAAAGGTCTATTAATCTTGTTGCCATTTTATCTACTCTGGATGGAGTTAATAATTCGAGTCGTTTTGTTTTAAATCCGATTTTTTTATATGTGGTGTTCCTAGCGAAACAACGCGCCTAAATAACTCGAACCGCCAAAGGGTTTCCACTCGTTTTCGTTGGCAGGAACGTGAAGGATCTACTTAGCTTGGCGCCGATACATTTATAACTCAATAATACGGAGAGATACATTCGGGTCGGAGTGTCACAAGCTGAACGTCGTCAATAAAATTGACATTTGTTCAGCGAACAGCCGGTCCCGGGTGTTTATGAGAGATTCGACATTTGGAAGGAGCACAAAACGTTATGTGTAGCGCTGTGTTACTGCTCGTTTATAGGCCGTCTACGTGGAGAGTGGATTGAAAAGGACAAAGTTATGAAGGGACAAAGTCGAGGAACTTGTTTGTGCTAAATTGTTACAGTACGTTGGCTTAAACTAAACAACAACTTTGCATCTCCACTGTATTGTATGCCGTGACAGTTTTTTTAATGAAAAAAAAATATTTACTCTAAAAATCAAAAGTATTAGGGGTTATTGCGTTAATATTTTATAATTTAGTTTAAGTATGTACGTGTTTCGTGGGAGAAGAAAATCCTCAACTTGAAGAGCTGGAAAGAATATTAATAATGGTTGGTTTACAACCATTATCGATATACTTCCCATCTATATAGGCGAATAGTGCAATGTATAGATGCAGGACCAATTTATTCATCAGATATAATTTATTATCCTTACATATCGTTTATTATCCTTTGGCGCAATATCGCACATTCTATATGAATCAAGCCCAAACCTATGGGTTCTGGCTAGCCCATCGGTTCTGCGTCAGATGAAGCTTTAATAGTCTCGGGACTGAAAGCAAAAACATCAGTTAATACAAGATACAAGATATGAATCAACAATTAAACATGTATAAATATAACAGAATTTAAACACTTGTACACGCAACTTACTTCAACTACATGTAATGGTTCGTGCGGTGCTACAGACATTGTTTGTTATTCTACATCTGTATGTATAAGGCAAAGGAATATATTTCCTACTGCTTAAAATCTATCTCTTAGATCTGAAGCCTGAACGGTACAATGCGTACAAAATGAGTCAATTATTTTATGCACGTAAGACTCCGGAAACTAAAACTCGTAGGCGCGATGAATTGGAATATCGAATACTACATTTCGTTTTTATTTATCTACACCACAAGACGTTTTCACAACGTTTTTTTTTTGGAATAGATAACTTTGTTAGTTACCAATTGTAACAAAAAACGTTTGAACGCAAAAGTTTGTATTTTTAGAACGTGACTTGTGCAAGGGATATTCCTCTACTCTAGTCAGCCCATTCATCCTGTAGATGATGTCGCTTGGCTCAATTATAAAGAAGTGTATTAGTAGCGGTAAAAGACTCTTGAGCAATATTGACATTGGCTCTGACACCAACGAAGCATTAAATTGTCCATTGTGTCGGGCTGTAACGGAGAGCATTTTTAGTTTAATACATCAAGCTAATACGATAGGTATTATTGAGGGCGATACAATAAATAACAAAGAAAATATTTAGAAGACAAACAGTTGCGCGCATTTCCGAATCCGTTTCAATTTTCTGCATCGCGGCAGGAGATTGGAGTTGTGACTCGGCGGATTTTCCATCGGACTTGAGGCTTTGGCGCGATCCCTTCACACGTAAATAACAAGCGGGCCTGTCTTAGCGAACCGAAACTAAATTGGCCGGGCTTTGAGCGCGGGCCCTGCCATACCTTTGAAGGCATTTCCCCTGGGGCTAAATAATGATCAGTCGGTTTAAAGTTATAAGACTGAATAAACATTTGCGGGCCGAGTCCATGAGGCCGTTCGCAACTGTGACGAGAAAACTTTACGAGACGTCTGCACAAGGCTTTGTGCCGAGCATTATTGTGGTTTTATTTACAACACATTCACGAGGCCGTTGTAAAATCAATTATTGTATGGATTTTTTTGATATTATCAGTTAAATAGGAAAAAGAGGAATAAAAACTTTTTAATTTCAGATTAACGGCGAAACTTAACACAATTTAAAAGATTCATCGGTTGATTTTATTCTCTAGTGTGGCATAAGATTATGAGCAACCATCTCAGTATCTATTTAAAGATGCAAAGTTTTGCTTAATTGGTCAGTAGGGAGCGTTTAATTTTTAGATAACACGTCAAGAACACACTATTAGAACTGAAATAAATTGTTTAATTTTCATATTACGTACTAAAAAAATAACAAGAATACATATACATAATATGCATGTATATTCAAGATTAAAATACAATAGTCTTCGTACCTGCGTAGTAGTAAAAAATATATAGTAGCGGATTTGATATTTTATCACGGACATGTTTTGGTTGCCACAATTACGACCGAATATTCCGTGGTAGGGCCACGTAACAGCGTCTGCTGTTGCATCGATGAGCAGAACCGTTCGGGGAAACATTCCAGTGTGCGAGAGGGAACGGATGCTTGCACTTTTTCAAGACTTCGCAACGCATCTGCAATCACTCGGTGTAGACGGTCCATGGGCAGAGGTAAACAATTAACATCTGGTGAACCACCTGCGCAATTGCCAGCTGTTTAAAAAATTAATTATGTTCAACGCCTTCCATCTATTCTTCAAAGTCGGCAAAATTATATAAAATTTTTTATGCACAAGCTGATTCAGCCTTAACAGACAGCCGCATTAAATTAATAAAAAAAATGCACCAACTCGTTGGTATTTGGGAGCTTTTAATAACTAAGATTTGATTAATAAATTTATTGCAATACTTAATACATAGTTAGAAGTTAAGCTTAATGTAAATTTTTACTGTTATATGGCAAAAATAAAAATTTTTACCGTTTTACTGTTTAACTACATTTCATATTCGGTATAAAGTAATAAACGGTTTAGTTTGCCAGTCGTAAGATGTCCGTACCGCGCGGCGGTCGGGCGATAAATGACCGAGACGGCGCAAAGCGACGAACTTGTTTAAATATTAACAAACTACCCCCTTTACCGATTCAAATGTAGCCGTTTATTACTGTGCCTCATGACTTCTTAGTGTTTATTCACCATACTTTCGATTTTAGCACCGTAAACCGGAATAAAATGCATTTTAGGCTTTTGTTTAAGAGGGTTTTAGTGGTGTAGAATGTTAAGAGATATACTGAGCCTGCATAAGGTCTGCCTTTTGAGGATAATGGATATAGGATAGGATTCTGGCATAAAATAACAGTTTCAACAAAAAAAAAGTAGTTGACAAATTGACGGAAATAAAACATTAATCTTTGTTTTTTGTTTTATTATTGGAGAACCTTGTCTATAGCCACGTATGTAATATTGGACCTTAGTGTTTTATAACAACGGATTTGAATTATTATATAAGATAAATGGCAAACGATTTAAAGTTATTCGAATTCTTTAGCATCTCTTTGTCTGTAACCATTCGAAGTGTACCTCTCCCGGTGAAAGTTGGGTGAGTGGCGTCGAAAGTAATCACTTGTAAAATTTTTAACGGCCGCGACTTCGCAGGTGGCCCAATCATTGGGCGCAGGTGTGGCAGGAACTGAGGTGATTCCGCGAAGTTTGGAATGGGCTTAGCCACGTTATAGGCTGCTTCTGCAGCAAGACGTGGCTTATTGGCTAAGTGTTTCATTTGCTTTATGGTGGCTGGAATAAGTGCAATATGATGGCATTAAACTACTCGAATTAACGTGGGCATACTCAGCCTCTATGGATGGATATTAGAGTTGCAATTGGTTCAAATCGTGTTTGTCATACAAAAGAGGTTCAAAGAAAGCTTGGCGAAGGATAGAGATATTTATTTTGATATGTTCTTCAACATAACAATGTTTATAAGGATGTTATGATTCGTGTGAATACAATTCTTCTTATATTAATATTGTCGTAATTTAAACACTATTTTTTAATTTTTGTTGTTTTACAAATGTTATACAAGGTGCCTTCCGGACAAGATTGTTTCTCCGTCTGACAGATCATTTTTTAATATCTTTATAAGTACACCAAACAATTATAATAATAACAATTATCTATACTTTGGTTATGCCTAGTTATGCGTTTTTTTATCTAACAATGATTACAGGTTACCGGGGAGTGCCACTACTTCAGAAATTCTCGAGTAGAATTCAGTTTATTAACGAAACTTTTTAAATTATATTTTGCTTAACCAAATTGCAAAATACCGATGTGAGTTTCCTAAAAACCCCCTTCCTTACTTAATTACATTATCCTGTGTTGCACACCCAGACCGGAAATAATTATCTATGGGGTCACATAAATAGTTGCCCAGGGTGGGGGTCGAACCCACGACCTGCGGCGCCGAAGCCAATAAGGCAACCAAAGAACAAAACAACAGAATCGCGGCCAATGAATAGAAAAACAACGACCGAAGGAAGTTTACGGATATAAAGTGGCACGTGCCGACTTGTCGAGCCTGCAAGTGGCTACTGCGGAATAATTTATTAAGAAGCCCCCGTACCTCCGTTCAGCGGGAACTGTCGCCTTTATGGCCCAGGCCGTTTGTTTGAGCAGCGTTCCTTGCACGCCAGATATGTAATGAAGCATCATTTGGTACTTTATAAAATATTAAATTTGACTGACTTGATACTTTCGTCGAGGAGTCAATTCTTCTTCATGTAAAAGTTATACGTTTATTGCACGTTAATGGGATTTATTATCGTGGTCTCGGAACGACATCTCGTCACAACTCCCATTAAGCTAATGAAAAAATACAAATATGGATAAGGAGTTGAATCATATAACAGCACTTTTCGCGTTTTGTGAACCCTAACTGTTAAGTTAAGTTGTTATGTTTCAATAAGTTACTTAATATATCGTCATCGTTGCAGAGTCATTGGAGGACCTTAAGACTAAGCTCAGCAATCACAGTCACGTTTTCCAACAGGTGGGTCTTAACATGATGATGATGAAATTGAGTTTTAAAATAAGAAACATTATTAAACAATCATCGTATACAGGTGTCACTGATTTTAATAGAAAAAGAGACAGGGCAGTGTGATGTGAATTCAAAATATATACCCACTCACAGCCCTATGCTAGTTACACGACATCAATCATGAGATGGTGCCGTTGTCCTCAGAGCACCGTACTCTGGTGCCAGATGGCATTTGGGCGGGAACGCTACGGGCAATGACGTCAGCTGACTGTGACATGACGTATTGCCCTGGTATCTAAGAACGCAATAGCGGTTACAGTGAACTGGCTTCCGAACATTGTACTGTCGAGGTTAAAATGAGCCACAATTTGGCAGTTGATTGGTAAGGACAAATTCGGAGTATTTATATATTAAAATATGAACATCGCAAATCGGAGAATGTGAGTTTTTTCTTCAAATTTTAATGTTTTAACAAATGGATTTCTAATTTACCTACCTGACTCGACTCATCTCGGTTGTCGGATCAGCTGTGGGGCATTCCACGCGAAGCGGACAGGTAAAAAAAGTTGATGTCTCCGATTTTAGTAATATTTGATTATGTTATACCTATATATGTCCTCAATCCAGATACAAAATATTTTTACAGTATAAAATATAGTTTACGATTTACAGAGCTTTAAAAATGTGACTAACCGGCAGGTATGCGCCACTTCGAATCCCATTATCCGATATTGAAAAGATAAATGGAAATAAATGAATTAGTCAAGTGTATGCTTAATTTAATGAGCTTTCTTATTGCATTTTTGGATATTAAAAAAAATATTTTTTTACCAGATTTGACTCCTCTATGACAATATCAAATTCAAAAAAATACCATGCCTTCGTTCTGACTGCTGAAGGCACTATGATAAAGCGCAGAAATAACATGAAGATTCTTTAATAAACATTTATAAGTAATCGAATCTAATTACATCTAAGTAAGATCAAATGATTTATTAAACTCGGTTAGGTAAACAAAATATTCTGTTGGATGTTTTTGTAATCTCGCGTTAACTGGCAGTAGGCGCGATCCGGGCACCGGCGCTACCCTTCGACACTGTAGATGGCCTAGCTCCTAAACGACTTCTCGGCCTATTATGCAACTTGGCAAGAACTATCTATACACTATTAACTAGTTTTAGAAAAAAAATTAAAGTGGTCCAACCTTGTGAAATTCAAGTTTAAAAAGTTTGAACATGATTTTTTTTCAAAAAAAATATTTTTTTTTAATATCCAAAAATGCAATTAGAAAGGTCATTAAATTAAGCATACACTTGACTACTTCATTTATTTCCATTTATCTTTTCAATACCGGATAATGGGATTCGAAGTGGCGCATACCTGCCGGTTAGTCACATTTTTAAAGCTCTCTAAATCGTAAATTACATTTTATACTGAAAAAATATTTTGTATCTGGATTGAGGGCACATATAGGTATAACATAATCAAATATTACTGAAATCGGAGACTTCAACTTTTTTTACCTGTCCGCTTCGCGTGGAATGCCCCATGTGTTAAATCAATTCATGATTATTTATTATATATAACTGCATTTATTATATATAATACATATAAAACAATGAGAGTACATTGAAATGTTAAAATTGAGTTAAAATAGTTTAGAATGCGTTGCGAAAAATTTGTTCTAAAATGCAAATATTCAATTGAAACAAAATAGAACAAAAATTCGCATGTTAGTCGCGCCTCAGTCAGTCGGAGTGGACGAAACAAAAAAAATTAAAAGTACAGTCGACCGCCAATCAACAGAGTGGGTACCAATCCATCAACATGTCCGTGCCGTGGTTTTCCAATTTTCATGCGAAGTGTTCATCTTCTACAAAAAGCAATTAAATACGGATAACTCGGCTAGGCGACTAACAATTCATCATCCCTATGATGATTTTGGTGAAGTTTGTTTATTGTTATAAATAAAACTAAGTAAACCTCCTTTCTTTTAATACTCACGGTAATTTCATGAAACACATTTTTATGGGATAGCTAATTTCTACACCATCTAATATTTTCTGGCATACATTCTGGAATTTATGATGATTAATTAAATGAAACGGAGTAGGCAGGAATATCTATTAAGTGAATTTTATGTTTTGGCACAGTGGTATACAATTGAAGGCAAAACTTTAGTTCTGTGGTATTTTTATAAATACGAAAAAAAAAAAACGTTGAGATTTTGTGCTTAAAACGCTTTCAACTTTATACCTGAAAATCCACCTACCTTCCTGACGCAACTATTTTAACTTGTTAAAGTGTTAAAGCAATAAAAATTCAAAATAAATTGTATGTTCGAAATAGAACGCTAATAGTTCAGTTGACTTCGAAAGATCCAATTGGGGCTTATACGAGGGAGTGTTGGGATAAAATATATTAAGCCTGCGCTATCTCTACACCATCTAATATGATGCGTCACCATCTAATATGCGCTCTACAAAGGAGCGAGGGGTTCAGAACTCGAAAAATATCACACGGAAAGTGTTAATAACCACGGTAAAGTTGGGACACGAGCAGTTTGGGCCTGCAGAGAGGAACGGAGAGGAACGGAGAGGCCATCGAGGAGATATACGCCGAGCTAACGATGCTTGAAGTTAAATAAGCTTCGCTATGATGTACTTTAGTGTTAGCTCGCATGGGCAAATATCGCGCGTTGAGCACAAGCCACTAGCGGTGAGCGTTGTTCAAAAAATAATCATGTATGAACTACTGGCTAGAATAAGTAACAGCCTATACATGTCCCACTGCTGGGCAAAGGTCTCCTCTATACAGAGGGTATCAGGGCATTGTCCCCACTGCGGATTGGCGGACTTCACATATTTTCGAAAATACATTTTTTTTGTTATTATTTCGAAAATATGCAGGTTTCCTCACGATGTTTTCCTTCACCGCGGAGCACGTGATAATTCAGCACTTAAAGTTAAAAACTTCATTGGTGCCGGCACCGGGGATCGAACTCAGGTTGCTCGAAATATATATATATATTGAATTAAAGGCGAGCGCCCGGACACTGAGCTATCACGGCTCTCAAGATGTTTACTAAGCTAGTGCGTCAATCATCTAGATGTAGATCAGCTATCAGATGAGATTGTATTCGAGCACTGGGTTTTTCGTGACAAATATATCCCGCATGTTCGTTTGCGTGGACATTATCCAAATTGATATTATTCATGAAATAAAAAGTACGTGCGTTGATATAGCTCGTAAGCTCTCGCGCGTCCGAATTTCATTAATGATAATGATCGAACGGACATTTGGAAAGACACTTGTACGTGACAATTAACATTGAAAATATCAATTTGATTGCATTACATGCATAAATCTCAAGTCTAGTTTGTAAAGGGTAGTAACTAGGTCAATCCCCATTTTATTACTTGAACATAAACGTAGTTAATATTAAAATTAAAAGCACTATAAATTTTAAGTAAAAAAAGACTCTGAACCATTTTTTTGCCACTTTGGACATGTTGCGCCTTTTGCTCCGTAACTAATAAATTTTTAACCACCGCCGTAACAAAAGATAAACGTGTGCCTGAGTAATTGTTTACCCGGACATTTATTTGGTTAACACATGTCGTAAGCTCAAACATAGCATCGCAGTTTAGACCTAGTAAGTCGATAAACAGATGAATTTCAATTTTGGCACTTCAATGGGGACCTTCTATATCAATAGAGTGTTTTCAAAAGTTGACCCACGTCCATACTGCGCGGCGTTTAAAATTTGTTCCGCTTTAAATGTGACATATGTAAGTGGATGTGACAGATGATAAAGAACGTTGGTAAGGTAAGAGATAGCATTCTATAGAATTGCACCAATCTAGTTACACCAATTGACGTAATTTGAGTACCTCAGTTTCGGTGCACTAGTGTCAAATCTAAATTTTATTGATAATACGTTTTCTATGCGCGTCTATCGATGGACGAATCTTGATATAATAACTATAATTCTTTATATTGTTTACACAATATTAACGGCTGCGTATAGTAAAGGTGAATAAAGTATTACGTTGTTCGTAAACAACGGATTCTTTTTATGATAACAATAACATAGAATTCAATTCAACTAACTCATTAGTTGGAGGAAATTATTTCTTAAACATATTATATCATTATATATTCTTAAAAGCCACGTCAGGCAATAGCACTGAACTGTGGAAAATAGCCCCAATCTGTGCCTATGTGTGCCCAGATGTTGCCAGCCGCATTATGTAGATATTTCCAACTAGCCAATGCTGCTCTAAGTTTTGTTATATATATATAGATTTGACTTATAAATATATATGAAAGTTGTATATGATATCCCCACTAGTTTTAGTAGGATAAAACCATTGTTCTATAAATTCGAACAACATCAATGCGTTCGCATAATACATTAATTAATTTTTGTAGTCATATTAATTACTCAATGATAAAACAATCTTTACCATTCTCCTTTCAAAATCTGACTAAATAGGTTTTTATTCTTCTGATTAATTATTATGTTTCATAAACTCTTTGTCGCAGTGTCTTTAGAAAGCGACGAATTAAACTCAGTCTAATAAAAAAATAAATTTTAAGTAAACCGGACGGTTAAATTAATATTTTTAAGTTGCTAAGTGAAGAAATGTTCCGAGCTCGCAAGGTGTCC